GCCGGAAGTCTCTAGTTGTAAGCTTAAAAAACCACAAAGGTATATTATAATATAGTTATTATGAAATCACTACAGTTATATAGACACTTGAATTTTATTTCTCCGCGTGTTATAAGTAGACTATAATATTATATTCCTCCCATCTCGAGGGGTTCAGGAATACATCCGTTGGTCGGGCTATGGAAAAAAAAACCATCGTATTTACAGAAAAAAAAAAAAAAAGAAAAAAAAAATGGGAAAAAAAACGAACGGCAGAGACGCCCCCGGCTGAAAGAAACAATGGGCAGCCGCGATACGAATCTAAAAAAACACGTCTAAATGAAATTGTTAATAATATTTCGAACATAAATATTACACCGGACTAATTACCGTAAAATGCTAATATTACGCGGTGCGCAAGTATAATTTATAGTTTGTATTATTTCGTTACTACATCAATAAAAGGATTATAAACACGAAACACAACTCGCATAGTTCTCTATAATATAACATAACAGTATTATAATATGTAATGTACGTTTTTTATTGTGTTTTAATTTAAAGCGCATTATTTCTACTAACCTATAATTCATCGTTATAATTTATTACGATTTATGTTTTTTACGGTTTTCACCGGCTTTCCTAATACCTCTCTCCGTTCGTAAAAAACCGCGTATCTACATTCGTATAATATTACATTAACAATATTGTTATTATTATTTTTTTATTTTTTTTTTGTGTGCAGACGAAAATATGTATACAACATATTATCTAATTATATTATTATGTTGGTAAAATAAAAAAAAAAAAACACGTTTCAATTCGAAACGGACAAAACGGACATTCGAAATAAATAACATTTTATATTATTATAATGCCAGGTATTAAATTCAATTAGGTACACACAACTTATTGGCGAACGGAGAAATACATACATTACTATAAACTTAGGTAAATACAAGGTGCTCATTCCTATTTGTATGGTTCAATTGTACACGTATTCAAGTTGTAATTTTTGTAATTTTGAAGTGTAGGTAAAGCCGATATTTTCGATTACTTAGATTTTTCACAATATCCAATAAATATCCTATTTAAATAAGAAATTGTACTAAAAATTTCATACATAAATAGAGTATATATTAGTTTTTAAATAAATGTTGGTGTTAAAATTTTTGATTCACAAAAACAGAATTTGAATACATACATGAAAAATATATGAATCGATTAATGCAGAAGCAGAAAAAGCACATGTTCAAATTTGAAATTTTTTTATGAAAGACAAAAAACTTCTTAGGCCCTTAGAGTTTTACAATATTTCATGAAATTAACCAAATTCTAATAGAAACGTATAGATCACTAATAATCAATAATAGATCACTAGATTACGTAAGATCACTCTACCATTGATATTATCAATATGACAATTTTTTTCAATTTTTTTCAAAAATATTAAGTGTATTTTTCTTGAAACGTTTTTATGCATGTGTATTTTTTAAACCTCCATTTCACTGTATTATTATAGATAATCTCCACATTACAAGTATTACGGTATACAATTATACCAATTTAACTAATTACAATTATAATTATACAGCTGTGAATAATATTATATAGAAATATACCAAATGCCGCACACCTATACAGTGAATTTGCCTCGAGTGTCTTTAATAAATTGTATTTATTATAAATTTCCCTTATAGTATAGACGCGTTAATTAAAAAAAAATATATAATAATAATAAATACAAAATATTATAATAAATACCTGATAATGCTGACGGGCGTATTACTGTTGTAGGTGGGGAAGTTATGGAATGTAGGATACGCAGAATTATCTAATTTATATCTGTCGGCAGTTATGCACCATTGCATACGGAACACGATTCTGAGCATTAGGGGCACTGTGAAGGGAAGAGGGACTCGGAGGCCACAGTTCCCCATGTGATTGACAAACAAGGGTTATAAGGAATATATGGCAAAAGTCGAGTGAAACTGTATATGAGTATCTAAAATAGTGATCCCCATCCTCTCGTGACATTTGAAAAACTTGGTAAACTTGGTAAAAACTAATGTTAAACATGTAGTATTATTAATATTAATTATTATTATTAATTTCCCCTTGTAACCAAGAAATCGACAAAAATGTTTGATTGGGGCCAGATTTCTGATAGAAAATTTGTTTACAGACATAAAAAAATAAAACATATTATAGTAAAACTAAGACATCCTTCGCTCACTCAGAATCTTTTATTATCATGTAACGTATAATATTTTAAAATAAATCAAAATCACGAAATAATGTTAAGTACCTGTTCCTACAAACTTTCGCCAATATATATACCACGGACAAAATAAAATATAAAACATTATATTTAACATTTATATTGGTTTTCAGATTCTAAAGGAAGCCAGGAATGAATAAGATTTAGTAGTTATGATTTTTTTTTCCGAAATTACTTTATCGCTTTAATGCTTCGATTTTTTTCACGCCGTATACGATACGAGTCAGTTAAACGATGTGGATTTACTTCTCGCCGATATTGTATTTGAACAATTTTTTTTGGATTCCCAAGAGTTTTTTTTATAAATTAAAAAAAAAAACTGAAAAATCTGATGATTTTCGGGTCGGTTTTATTTTTGTTGTTTTCTGAATTACTGCGGCTATATACTGCAAGTGGACGAAACGACGTTTCCGGTTCACCAAGCTCCACTCAGAATCGTTTTTTCGGTTGCAATGATTTACCGCTGCTCAACAAAAACCGTGGATTAGGTATTATTCACCCTACATAATATTATTATCCTATTCCATCCGATTTCCCACCTACAACATGTGCTCTGCCCACTACATGAAAATATATCCGTTCTTTCTCTCTCTCTCTCTCTTTAAACATAATACAACTAACGTATAATTTAACGTTAAACGTCTACATAGGAAAAAAAAATCGCTGAATAACGTGCTAATTTATACGCGTACAGTATAAACACTATACCTACACCATCATCATCCCACGAAATGCGGATACACTATTAATATCGCCGAGACGGTGATTAATTATTAATTATGTTTTTATTATTAACATTTAGTTGTGTTTTTTTTTTTTTACTACTTAATAAAGAAACGGGTTTGCGTTTTGTTTTTTTTTTTGTTTTATTTTTTTTTTTTGTTAGCCGTGGGCCTTTTTGCACAAATTACCCTATAGCCCGCGTATGTAATACACCGTAATAATATTCGACTGATATGGCTGCACCGCGGTCCTAGCCAATTATAATAATTAAAATGTGCAACCTCAACAGTTACGAGTGTGTGTTTGCTCTGAGTCTCTGACCATAGGTATATTATAATACAGAGGTTGGTATGGATATGAATGTACACAATAATGATAATTTGTGTTCTTATTCGTTCGAGTTTAATAATACGCCTTTATCCCAGTATAAATACACGCTGCGGTAAGTACACGACGAGCAATTATGAAGAAAAAAAAAATAAATAAAATAAATATTATACGCATTAATCGCGGCCAAACGTCAATATATATATATGTGTATATTTTTTTTTAAAACAGTCGCAACAACTAACCGCACTATCACCGTCGTCGTCGGTTTAAAAAAAAAACTGTAATAATAATAATAGTATAATACGACTGGCTGTATAATAGTATATTTATATATATATATACGAATAATAATTACGCGATGCATATAATATACAGAAGAAGAAAAATAATTATATTACATTATACGTTGTATTACATTCGACGCGATTCGTTCTCGTCTAAAACTGCAATAATAATATTAACGTGTGCAACTCGTATCTAAATCTAATGTAATAGTAATTATGCCATCGTCCGGTGGTTATTTTTTTATTTTATTTTTTTTGTTTTGGGGAAGGGGACAGGTGGACCGAGTATCCCAATTCTGTATTTGACTCGAATCGTTTGAAAAACTTTTGTATTATACCTATAATACCTGCATGCGTATATAGTTAAATTACATATTCAATGGCGCAACCAGGATTCATTTTTAGAAGTGGGGAAGGGGTCAAACAATAATTTCCGAACAGGTTTCGGGATAATCAATAATTACTTAACGGACGAAATGAACGGTGCACACGTATTCAAAATTACAAAGAAATATCTGAAATTATAATAAGTACAATTAATATTAATCCAACTATTTAGGTGCGTATCACGAATTCTTATTCGTAATAAAACATCTCAAATTTCGATTGGAACGAGGAAGGGGGGGGGGGGGAAACCCCAGGCTTACGTTAAAAATATCCTATTTACAAATTATCACCAGAAATATTATATTATTATCCCCTATTTTATAATTAATTTTTTAGATTCTGAATGGAGTGAGGAATTTATTGGTTTTACAACAATGCATGGTGATTGTTTTACAAATCTCGCTCAAAAGTATATAATGTTTAGCATACATTCTAAGAGGAAATTTTCCAAATTTTTTGTTTTTCGGAGCGGTGTTCGGAATAAAAGAAACTTATCGGGGGAAAACCGTACGATTTTATTATTTTAAACAAATACGGACGACGTTTTCTACCGGAAATATTGCTTCAATTGAAAAATTACAAGGTTTATGAACGATTTAATATTGCCTAACCAATATAAGATAACCAAAAACAGGGGTTCCATTTTTGTTACACGACGTTAAAAAAGGACATAAATAATGTTTATTTAAGGATAATACGGTATGTACACGTATGTAAAAACATCGATTTATTTGTATTATTAATTGATACAAATTATATATGCGTATCATGTAATATTTTCAATAGAATACGTAATAGCAAAACAATACGTATGAAACGAGGGGATAATATTCCTGGGGATATTTTTATGGTGAACCGTATCATAACACTGCGATTATGTTAATATAGTATATTTGATAAAACTGTAAATAACAAGCTACTTATACTACCGAACCGATTAAGACGTAATTATGGGTCGTGATCAATAGAGACAATTGGGCTAGAGACGACAACAACAGCCATTAGGAACGCGACACACAACGCACCGCGGACAGCTCCGAAAGCGACGAGTCTTGCAGTGTCTTCCGGCCCGTGCATTATTTTCATAATCACGGGCCGGGGGTGTTTTGGAAGCCGGCAGTAATTTCGTTCACGTGCAGTTATAGTCCCTGCGCCGTATTCTTATACGCGCATAAAACAAAAGTGTGTTGTTATCTTTGTCTGTGTCAATTAATTGTGATTAATTATTTATCTAGATTCCTGGTACGGTGAATCTTCGGCGACAGGTAAACGATTTTAATATAGTTTATAATACCCAGATCTGTGCCATCAATCAGGAATGATTTCCGAAGGACAGTTGGGTCCCTAGTTTTGTAATCTATTTTGTAACCTTTATTGAATTTTCACTCGCGAATCCCAATAATACTTCATATCGGAAAAGTATATTAATATTATATTGTTAGATATTAATCAAAAGGAGAATGATTTCCGGACGAAAAGCTGTTCGCGGGAAATAAAAACAAAATAATAATAAACATCGTTGTAAAATCAATATTATACTCCTCGCTGCACGTCAGAATCTAAAATATGATTATTACTAATGTATGGTAGATATCGAATGTATTTATAAAATAACTTTACATACGGGTATGCCATACACAATACGCATAATTGTATAACCTAATATTATTAGTGATCCATAAATAATTAATAACAGAAATGAAACTTTACACTAAAAACACCCGAGTCTCGAAATTGTCTCGTGGTCCGCCGTGGAAATCGAACACTTGGGATCGTGCATTATACATGCGATTCTTTACGGGTCTATGCAATAACAATAGAAAATAGGTGGGCAATAATTACCTACTGACACACTTCAAGGGATATCAGCCTACATTGATCAGTCGCAATTAGATATTAACCATCAAACGGACACAAATGTTGAAAAATTAAAAAAAAAAAAACAAAAAAAGTCAACTATACGTACCAAACTGTCAATAAATATGTAGATCCTGCAAATATAAATTGTATAGATACATATCATACACTATACATGTATATCATAATATATAGAATATGTATTCAACGACATCAAGCATAATTTGACGAAGAAATTCAAGAAAACCGTTGAAAAATAAAAAAAAATACGAATATCAATACAATCATAAATGTACAAAAACGTACCTAATTACGTATATATTTGTATACATCAAACATATATTCTGTTCCAATAGTGTCTATCCCGATACCACTTGAAATTCAATTAAACTTCAATCGAAAAATTCAAATCTACTTTTAATATTGTTTAAAAAATTAATAACATTGATATCGGGCACATAAATATTATGTTACTAAATAATTTAAACTATGAACAATATAATCACTCTATTTTATTATTATAATTATAGAAGACATTAGTATCGCAATCATAATATCAAATGCAATTAGGTACGTCGTGCGTAAAATATTTTTTATTTACCAAAACTTATAGATTTAAAACTAATTAATACCTAAGAGTTAATGATTTTCTTTATGTAACTACTCAGTCTTTAGATATTAAATTCAATAGGGATAATTAATATTTTAAACAAACATGTAATACAACTATTTCATTATCATGTCATTTTTTACTAATTAATTAGAAATACATTATATTGTTATTTGTTAAATCATACTCAATATTATATTCAATTTTTTTACTCTCTTTTAGATCTAGAGCGAGGAATATATTGATTTTACAATAATGTTTTTTTTTTTTTTTAGTGACTTGAACCGTCCTCGTTATCTTAGGACAGGTTTTTTATTTTGTTACCTCATACATTGATATGAGGGCATAACATGAAAAAAAAAGACCCGGGTGCATTTTAATAAAATTGTGTATAACAAACTAATCACGGTGATGTACCCATCAAGACACAATTATAAGTCAACAAAGACAATTGTGTTAGGTTAGAAACGACAACAGCCGTTAGGACAGCTCCAAAGCGACGAGTCTTTCAGTGTCTCCCGGCGTGTGCATTATTTCAATAATTACGGGTCGGTGGCATTCTGGAAGCCGACCGACAGTGATTTCCAACCGTCCCCTCTTTTATTGTTGGTTACAACTTTTCGGGAAACTACATAAAATATGTTTTATTTTTTTTTTTTTTCGTAGGTTCTATAAGAGAACAACGTATTAGTTTTTGTAAGATGTTGTTTATTATTATTTTTTTTATTGTTCGCGCACAATTGTTTGGATCGAATATCCACTAACAGTTCGTGTTCCGTTCATCAATATTAGATGTTGTTTCCGGTTCTTGTATCGGGAAGGTTATTTTCCGGTGTTTCATACAATTTTGTTAATGACCGGAAAAGTGATGAGGTGGGGGTGGGGGAGTGAACGTCGGGAAATCGGAAATATACTCACGCAATAACGTTTCTGTTGAGTTCGAGTTTTTTTTTTTTTTTTAATTCGAAGACAAATAACCGTAAAGACCTGAAATGTTCACCGAATCCCTACCGACTTATATTGACGTTTTCCGGCGTGGTATCGTTTTTTAAACACTCTGGCATTTCGTGTCGAAAATCGCTTAACGTTATTTCTCGGGACGTTTCGATAATTTAACCCGTCGGAATCGGTTATTCGCCACCCCCCCCCCACCTCACGCTCGTCCGTAATATACGGTTGAAACGAAAATTCGTTTAAGGCACAGGTGTGTGCGACACGATCGTCTGTCGGGAGTATGGGGGTCCCGTTACATTATCCGGAGCCGAATTGTCTTGTCGTGTCGGCCCGCTCGTCAGCTGTCGGATACGACGGCGACGAAACCGCGGTCGACTCGTCCAGCGAAAACCATTTCGCCCTGTTACACGGTCGTGATTCGCCACCCGCGCGGGCTCGCAAAGCGTAATGCGACCGACGCGCGTCACTCGCCGCCGAGTACCACCCCCCCCCCCCCCCCCCCTCCCTCCCCCCCACTCACCCGTCACGCGAGTCGCGCGGGTCCGGCTTGTTTACGCGCCGAAAACGTTTGACGACCGCGACGGCGGTAATAACGAGACGCCGGAGATACGGACGGGACGGACGCAGACACAATATTATCATCGTTCGGCCGGTCTCGTCCGTCGCACGATAATATTAAATAACGCATAATTGAATTTATTATCGCGTACACACGGTATTAATATTATTATTATTATTATTATTGTACGCGTTTCACGTAGTCGTATTATTACGCGGTCGTTATTTAATGATATTTCGTAATCTGCCCGCCGCATTCGTACAATACAATATTATTAATCATCGTCTAAATTACGTTCGCCCGGGGCGGCCCGCGACGCGTATAATAATAATAATAATAATAATATTATTACTATCATCATCGTCATCGTCGTCGTCGTCGCTGTACGCGTAGTACGCGTGTAGAGCGCGCGCGCGCGCGCTCGCGTACGTATTATAATAATGTATACAACGCGCGCTTGTATGATACAACGCGTATATGTAAATCCGACGACGGACAAACGCGCGGACCGGCCGGGCGGGCGGCGGCGACGTCCGGCCGCGGTCGCGGATTGACGCGCGGCGCGCGGGCCGGGAAAAAATCGGAAAGGCGGCTGGGGGTGGGGGGGGTGGGGGGTGGGGGCAGGGAGGGGGAGAGGTGGCGAGCGGCAGCACGGATTTACGGTACGCGGGAACAACGCGGGACGGTGGGACCGCGGCGATACTGTTGCGTTTGCGACGAGGAACGAGGGACCGGGAGACGGGCCGACGGCCACCGCTAACCCGGGCCCCGGGTTAATAATCGATTAGCGCGTGCGCGCCGCCGCAACCGATGCGTACATGCCGCGACGTGATGTTTACCCGGGCGCGCGTCGCTTCCCGTACGCACGGTTATTAACGTTGCGCCGTCTCCGGCAGCAACATTAAATATAAATTACGCGCGCGCGCACGCGGCAGGAGAGGCGAACAGTAAAAATAATAATAATATCATGCACGTAGGTATTTATAATATATTTTGTAAACGTGCGTGCGCGTGTGCGCGCGTGCGTGCGTCCCGAGGAACGGGGCGGCGGCGGCGGCGGTCCGCGAGAAAATGTTATTAAATTCGATTAATATTTTAATAACCGCCGACCGCGCGCCGGCCAAAACAACTACTACCGTAGATTATGATTATTTTTTATTACGGGTAATAACGCAGCGTATTAACCGCGGCGGCGGCTGCGGGCCGCGGGAAGGCGGCGGCGCAGGCGGTCAATCGTCGGAATAATCGCCCGTAAAAATATCGTAATACGTCCGTAAGAGGACGCTGCGCGATGTGCCCGATATGTGTCCGCGGGACGATCAGCGGTGGTTTTTATGATGTGGCAGGGGGGGGGGAAGGTAGAGGACCGAAATCAAATGGAGGATTGAAACTTCACCGCTTATTGTCGCGGTTAGTAATCCAGTTACGTTCGGTACGCGACGGATCTTAGCATTCGGATTGATTTAAACGATTCGACGATAAATAATAAACGGGGGTGCTTTACAGGGCGATTTGAAAAAATGTCGGGGGACTTGGCAGGTGATCGGGGGGGGGGGGCTATGCTCCCACGTTCCCTACGAATAGGCCATTGTATAATTAATTTAACAGATTAGTTGTTTTTAATCTAATGTTACTATTTAGTATTTTATGACTTTCGTAATAAAATACAACGTTACTGTTAATAAAAACCTACGCACTATATAGTAGCGTGCATATATTTTCACGGTGTATCTATGAATGGTTGTTGTATTCGTGAGGCACGGCACTCGGGCGTGTGGGGGCGCAGCCTCCGCGACTCGGCGCGCACCGAGTGCACTTTCATCACTCCCGATATTTGGGCTCTAATCGCGCCTAGGAACCTTTGGCAACCGACGAGTCATACACGGTCGACGAGTTGACAACATTTCTGGTACGCGGGTTCCGTGCCGGTAAAAGTTATTTTGCAACGTACTGTAATGAGACGGAAAATCGGGATTGCGAGCAGAGCCGTGCCGTTTTGATCCGGAGCCCGGTCATGTCGCACCCGCCTCCCCCTCCCGCCACCACCACCACCTACCCATTTATTTGATTATTTACACGATCACTTAGACGGTAATGCATAGTGCAATTGTTAAATAAATGAAGCGACTAAATATTTGTTATTTTTAAGCACCGAAGTGTTCAGTCGCAACGCGCATTTCGTAGCGGTACGTTCTGTCTGTGCAATTATCTATTCGAAAAAATTGTAAGTTTTGGAAGTTACAAGTTTGTAATTGTATCAAGAGTGAAGTGTAAAGGCTTGAAGTAAGTCTATTTTGTAAAATAGGACGAACCCGATATTTTCTTTCTTTTTGTTCTATGACGCTGTCTTCCGCGATACAGCATCCGTACGCGAATTGCACCTGCAACGTCCGCGTTTATCGTTCTGTAATGTTATCGACATTCGGGTTTTAGCGATTATTTGTCCGGTTCGGTTACGGCGAACGGCGTGCATACGCAAAAGTTTAGTGCGTGACCGGCCGTCAGTCCGGCGCGCGTCGTCCGCGGGCCATTTAAAACGAAAAAAAAAAAAATAAACGATAATCTTAAAACAAAATCTTTTCTATCGCAGTCAATTCTCCCAGACGGTCCGCCGAAAGCGTTTCCAAGGCGACGTAATATTTGCGGTAACACGGCTTGGACAAACGATTTACCGTGTCGTTCGAATATTTAGTTTCTTTTTTTTTCCCCGGTAAAATTAACGAAACGCCGAGCACCCGGGAACGGCTAGCGCGCCGCGACGTTTCGCGGGCGTCCGTCGAGCGGCCCACTCGGAAACCGCGGGAATCGGTCAATCGGTTGAGCTATCCGAACGCGCCGACGCGGAACGGGTGGAAAAGTAATTCGGTAAGTGGTCGTCAGCGCACACACCCGCGGCGTCTAATCGACAAATCGACCCTCGACGCGCCCCAAAACAAATCCGGCGGCCGAGGTCACGCGGGCTTCTTCTCGCATTTATTTGCCCGTGGTCTTATCCGGTTGAGTTTTATCTAAAGCCTCGGCGACACAGGGAACGGGTGTTTTTATCGGCGTACACCGCCACTTATTATTGCGCGTCGCGCGTATTGTCGACGCTGCGCGGCCGTCCATTTTCGATCGGCGTTCCCACCGTCCACTTGGTTATTCGCCGAACGAATTGAATCCGCGTGAAACCGAATCAAAACCGGACGGTCTCGAACCGATGCGAAAAAGTTGGAATATTTTGAAAATCGATCTTGTGTTGTTGCGTCCAAAATCGAATTTAGACACCGATTTCTGTAGGTTATTCACGCGATATAAACGCATTGACTGGATCTCAACACTGAACCGCGTGGCGAGCCGACTCACTAAGTGTAGCGCAGTCCGCTCATTATTCTGACAGAGCAGTTTGTAAATTACGTCCAGCGCGGGACATGAACGTACGGCTACACGCACACTATAATGGTCGTTATCCGCTGGACTATATCGAGAATAGCAGAAATCATTATGCCGCGTGAATACTTTGATATAGCACACTTTGTGCCCGGTTGAAATCATTTGAAATATAAACCCACAATAGAATCCAATACGGCAATCGCGTGCAATAACGATCCGTGCTCGTTCTGGGGTTTCGTTTTCAGAAAATCGTGTTTTTTGTGTTTTTTTTTACTTAAACGAACGCCATAACGGATTAAGTTCGTACGGTCGTCGAAACGACAGTGCGATAATAGTTAAACATCCGTATCGACGAGAAACTATGGTTTTGTTCCCTGTTGGTTTGTATGCGCGGCGAAAATTGAAAACGCCGAAATGTACATGCGTATTATTCGTAGACTTTTTCCCGAGATTTTTTTTTCGTTAAGTTTTTCCGCTCGAACAACGGGTTTTCGTACACACGAAAGATGCCCCCGGACGTTTAGCGTTGTCGGAAGACGAAAATTCGAAAACGAGGGCTGCCGTATCAACCAGTCTCCCAAACGGGTATATTTTCGGCTGGCCCTGTTTCCATAAAAACCAGCTATGTGAAGCTGTGTACCGTTCCTTTCGATAGTAACGAGCTCCGAAGAAATGTCAAATTTTAACTTAAAATACATTCTTGTTTCATTCGTCATTTGTTTAACATTATTAAATTGAATTTGTATTTATTTTTTTTTTTTCTAGGCTTTTCGGACTACGGACGAGTTTTCTTCTTCTTCTTCTTCTTCTTCTTCTTCTTCTTCTTCTTCTTCTTCTTGTGATTGGTGGGCTTCTTGGCGGCGGGACGGACTCGGGCAGAGAGAGGGGTCGACTTGATAATTGGCGGCCAAATAGTTTTTTACGGGCAACGACGAACCCTTTCGTTCTTTCGACTATATGGATAACAAACGTAACCGTAACCGAAGTGGACGGACGTGCGTCTACGAATTCCTCGGCGACGGCGCCCGTGGCGGCAGCGGCCGTCGCCTATTTGGACGGAGATTTCCCGGAGGCAGTCGAAGTAGCGGCCGGAGCCCCCGGACCGGATACCCGGACCCCTGTGCCGCGCAATCGAAAGAATGTCGTAACGAAACCGGACCGTGTCGGTCATATAGCAATAAAAAAAAAAAAAATTATTACACAAATAAATAATTTTTGTTCCGTTCGTGATTTGTTTGTTTGTAGGCATGCATTTGTGTTAATTATTTATTTATTATTATTATTATTATTATTATTTTTTTTTTTATTGATTTTTTTAATCACAATTATCGTCGTGCAGTTGAACACATTATTCGCGCATCTGGCATTCATCGGTATTATGTGTTGCTATTCAAATTTTCCCCGACGGACGCGTCCGTCCCCACACGCATATTATCGTTCTGCATAAATCCATTGCGCCTCATCGTAGTTGAATGTCATGCGCGGTCGGCATTTTCCGACGGTTTGTACAGAGACCGTAATCTTTGACCGGCCGTCTGTGCTCACACAACACCGTCGTCCGCCGCTCTCGAAATAAAATCAAAAAAAAAAAAAAAACAATCCGGTGCTCAAAAACCGAATCTTTTTTATCGCTATTAATTATTCCTGTATACACGGTTCCCCCGCCCCGCTGACAACAACGTCTCGGAGGCAACAGTCGTGTTCTTTGTTTTAAGCGTTTTACGGTTATCGAATGTACAATTTCATTTGATGATTTTTTTTGTATAACAAACTATTAAGTAAGTAATTGTGTTATATTATGTGGCCAACAATACAATTGAAATATCAAAACCCGGGACGTCAATGTTGCGGCTTGTTTCGTTAAAAATCCGTTTGATTCCATTTTTAACAAAAATAAAAACCAAGTTTGAGTGTTTAGAGGATTTTTTTCAAATTTTTAAGTGCATTATTTTCAAGAACATTTATTAAACGAATTTCTGGGGTTTTTTTGGGGCATTACATTCCCAGCATTGCTTATGTGTAGGGCTGTGAATTTGTAGGAAAGTGTATTTTTTTTAGCCGACTGTAGAACATAATTTGAATTGTGTAACAACGAATTAGTTTTTTGAACTTTTATTTTGCATTTTAGACATTTTCCGGTATTTTCAATCAAATTCCGATGACTAACATCTTTAAACGCATAGTTTTTCCTTATACAGGCTGTATATTCGTCAAATTGATATTTTATAAAATAATATTTTACACAAGCTGCATACGGGTAAAGATAAGGATTCGATAAAATAAGGTAATATTGCAGAAATCAATTTATACAACATTCAAATTCGATCGACATTTTTTAAATTTGTATTTATTAAATAAATACATTTTTATATATATATAAAATGCCGTGATTTTACGATTTTCGTTAATAATTTAAACTAAAACAACGCCTATTTGAAAAAAATCAATGCAACATCATACTGATTTTTTTTTCACTACTAAGTAAAATTTACACCGAACCTCGTGTTTAAAGTTTCAAGCATTTCTGTCGGACCAAAATCATTTAATCTACATAAACCCAAAAAAATCTAAAAAAAAAAAAAAAAAAATCGATAATTTAAAATACCTATACATATCTATAAATAAAAACCTCTAGGATTTTTCGACAATTTCACCACACACAGAAAGGACTAGAATAATCATTTGATTCGGTATTTAAGGTCTCCGCAATTATTTTTAACCGAATTTCACAAAACTAAACGCAGAAAAAAAAAAAAAAAAGCGAAAACAAAGACACGTTTATTTCCGCACATTTCCCCGTCGTATGCCGTATTTCCTTTAGGTTTCCCGTAGACAAATTGTCGTTTCCGCTTTGGACGGGAAAAAACAACCAAATGCGTATAGCAAACGGGGTCGCGAACAAAAGGTCCGGAGAACGGCGTTAACAGCATTGCCGTTCTTAATTTTGATTTTCGGGTTCCCTCGGTCAGTGCGCGACACCGGGTTTATTCGTTTCCCCCCGGATATTCGGCGTTCACGAGGACATCGACTTTCGTTTTCGACTGGACATTCGGACGCGGGTACACAGCCGAACGACGGGCGTGACCGGCCGGTATTCGCGATACGCCGAGATGAATGAATTATCGCGCGTCCCCCCGGTAACTTTCGTTATAAAAATATTATTATAGTTCGGCCCGTACGATTTCGAAAACCGCGGGCGAACCGGCACGTTTTAATGGGTACGGTACGGCGCGGGCGACGGGTGTAAACCGTGTGGATTTACGAGCGGCAACGGAAAAAAAAAAAAAAAATTAATAATAATAATAAAAACCGTACAATGGTCGAAAATCTTTAGAAACGATCGCGCCGCAGGAACACACCGGCACGCCAATCGCATTGTTGTCGGACAAATATTAATCTCGTGTTTCGCACAAACGCGGGGGGTTTTTTTTTTTTATCCTTCTCCGGGGCCGCGGGTGTCGGGCCGATTAACAGTATCGGCGGTGAAAACGCGAACGACCGCGGCACTAGTAGTCGCGGAAGGCAGAGAGAGAGAGAGAAAAAGCGACCGAGCGAACTTAACCGGGCGATCCGCGCGCCGTCCGGGCCGCCGCTGAACGGGCGTACACGTATTATGTTATTCGTGTCGCATTAAGATTTTTATCTTTATCGCTCGCGGTACACGTGTACTTCGACGCGTACGCAGATGGCCGCGACGATAACCGTGTCACGACTCGTTAGCCGGTGGTGACCCGGCGCAAGCGCAAACGATTAATCATCAAACATCAAACGGTATCGCGTACCCGGGACCGTGCGTCGGACGCGATGGTCCCGCGAAACGTCCGTTACCGTTCGCCCGCGGGCGTTTTCGCCGCGGACCGGCGACAACCCCGTCGGCGGCCGACGGACACTTTGCGCGCCTGTCGCGCGAACGGCTCTCGAGGGCTCCGGACGCCGATGTTTGTTACGTTCTTCGTCGCGCGCACCGCCGGCGATCCAAATTGCCCGGTTGCCCGGCAACCGGTCGTCCGGTCCGACGCGTGCTAATCGCCGGCTGCGACGACGACGACGACGACGACGACGTTTTCTCCGTAATACCGCGAAAATCCGGATGCTTCGCGATTCGCCGCCGCGTCGTTTTCCAACGCGGCAGTTCCTCCGGCGTGTGTTTTCGCTCGTTCGCGGTAAAAAAAAAAAAAAAAAAAATCGACGAATCGACGGCCGCCCGTCCACCGTATACTGTGCCTGACCCGCGGCCCCGTTTTCGTGTGCGTACGGTCGAAATTCGCGGGTTCGCCGAGCACTGGCCGGGAACGCCTAAGCCGTTTCGGACGGCCCCGCGCGGCTTTGTCGTCGTCCGCGCGACTTTCCCCGGGACCTACGCGGACGCCGACGGATCTTGTTACCATCGACTCGCGGGATCGGCGGCCAAAAACGTCGCCCGGTCCCGCGACGTCGCGTTTCCGACGACGGCGCTCTTTTGGGATTCCTTTTTTTTTTTTTCTCTATCAACCGCACGTATTATCGCTGCTATTATTTCTCCGTTCGGAATCTCGCTACCGACAATGGTACGCGTGGGTCGCGGACCGCACACGCTGCATGTGAAATACGGTATTGCGACGGTCGCGGTCATAACGGTGATGTACAACAGCAGCCGCGGTAACGATATAAACAGCGGTCGTAAAACTGGACGGAATCGTGGGGGACGGCGGGGGACGGGGATCGTGCAAACGCGAAGAACAAAGACGACGTAGCGAAACGCAATGAACAATCGTAATTAATTTAAATTCGAGTCGGCAATTAATCCGATTACACGGAGAGAAAGAGAGAGAGAGAGACAGCGGTAGAATAGGAGGGGGGGGGGAAAGTTTAATTTTGCCGCTATCATTGTAATAATATTATTGTTGCTGTATTTATTACGGCGCGCAGACAGCGCTGCGGTGATTTCTGTGCGTGCGCTCGTTTAGAGAAATTACGCGGCGGTGTTCTCAAGGCCGAATAGTTTTTTTAGTTTTTTTTTTTTTTTTTTTCCGTCCGTTCTCCCCGGTCCAAACGCAATTAATTAATTAATTAGTTTACCGACCGATGACGTTTCGGCCGACTGCGACGACGGTTACCGCGGTGATAATATTAGTAATAATATTGTTGTAACGTGTTCTCAAGGATTTCTTTCCGGGGCGCGTGACGGCGATATCCGCGGGGGCGAATATGACATTTTTGCAGCGAGCACTCACTGAGCAGTGGCGTCGTTTCGGTTTTTTGCGACGAGGCGGCGAAAGATTTGACCGGCCCGTAGTAAAATCGGAAAAAAAAACCACCGCTCGCTTATTTATCCGGCACAATTACGTTTTTTATCTCGATACAAATGTTCTTATTACATCGTTTTATACGCGCTATTATAGGCACGAGTAACCCATTTTGTCGAGAGACAACAATGACGAAATAATAAATATATTATTTGCAGAGGGATACCTTATAATATATTATCTATATCAGCTACTGTATGAAGATTTAATCATTTGATGTGAATTTTCCCTTAATAATTTATGTTCTTTTTGCGCCAATATGTACGGGGTACACATATTGTGTTTACAAAAAATATAACCACGTCGCCATGGACATCGGTATAAACTCAGAATAAAATAAACATAGACACTCTTCAAAAATTTTCATGGACTTTCAAGAGAACCCGGCAATTTAAGTTGAAGTGCAATCAATGTTCGCAAAAAAAAATACAATAAAAAAAAAAAAAAAATTGTATACAATTATTATCACAAATAAATCTTGAAAAACTGTAGCTCAGAGTGTCCGTATGCAACATAAACGGTGAATTATGTTTGCAGGCTCGCGGCCCAAAACTAACCCAATAGAGGCCCGCTGATGACAAGGGGTTGGAGCGCCTTCCCTGTACCTCCCCAAACGACGCCACTGAGCGAATGTATACCCCCTCTCCATTAAAATTTCACCCCCAGACATTACACTTGGACTCTGTCTAACGGTGTGGGCGTAGCGAACGATTATTCGAGAAGCTATTGCGGACGATTTTGCAGGTTGGAGGGGGCAGTCAAACGGGGGGGGGGACTTAGGGAATATATCCCCCATCGCCTCGTTTTTCATAAATATTTATGATAATATACATGATAATTTTTTTAAGTATTTAATTTAACCATGAAAATAGGATGGAATTTTCACGGTTAAATTATACATAAATTAGAATTCTGATTTATATAATTTTTAATTGTAGCAAGACGATATTTTCGGATAATCACATTTTTCCTATAATAATCGAAATTAAAACAAAAAGTTTTTTAATTATTCTACTTTAAATATTAAAGCTTAATAACTGTACGATTTTGAACAGTAAATTACCAGTACAGGACTACAGTATCCGTAGAAGGGTATTTCTTTTAGTATTTAAAGCAGAATAACTCAGAAACTTTTTGTTCAATTCTCGATTACAGTACGTCAACATTTTCAAAAAAATCTTCCGATTGACAATTTACAGCAAAACATGTAGATTATTGTTTGAAAAATCAAAGTTTTTATCACCACAGAATACGCATTAAATATTGTAAAAAAGTAAAGTACTTATGCAAAAATATCACTGAACTTAAAAATTTAAAAAAAAAAAATTTGAATTTATGCATAATGTAGCAATAAAAATGGGATGAGCATACCTAAAGAGTCACTCTGTATATAAAAATTATATATTTGGTTAAAAAAAAAATTATATAAATAATAATAGTTCGCACAATTATCCTTATGCCTTATCGTCCCATAACAAAATCATTTGACCGCCATTGTTTGGCACGACCGTCGAAAAATGTTTAAACTCAAAATATTATAAATGATAATATTATCGTTTATTAATAATAACAATAGTTACATATAATATATTATGTGTTCTGTCACACACATATGAGCAGGTCCTCTTGACAGGGAAGGCAACGGTCTTTGGAATCTAATCTTGCACGAAAATCATTGCTATCATAAATAGTCCAAATATTTTTCCAGAGGGCTTAAACCCTCATTGTATTGATTATGTATATTTATTATTTGCTTGATGAGTACTTTATTTTGAGGGTTTGATCGTGTTTTTGGTGGTTTGGAGTTTTCGAATCTTCCAAAGGCCTCTCCCCTGTTTGTGCCATTACACAAAATATGCAATGCACGTTAGAGTTTAATATTTTAAAAAAAATACGTATCTAACACGTTTTTTAAATAAGCCGCCTCTCCTGCCTCTCACGTGTGTACCTTTACACACACACACACACACACACAGTGTCACGGTTTAAGCCAAAACAATTTACGATGCGACTATGAGAGACCATTTTTGATTGAGACAGTGAACATTTTAAAAACGGGGCTTTTTTCTGGATGGATTCGAAAATGGGATAAGCCTCAAAGTCCATTTGATTTGCGCTTATGAGCTTTAAAATAAAATTGAAGGAGTGTGATCATTTTTTAGCTGTTGATTAAGGTGCATTGAGTAGTTTTCTAGCCCCAGGTTTCAAAATTACAAAATTCATGTTTTTTCGGCATCATCGTTAAGTTCATTATTTGTTTGACATATTTAACAATTTGTTTGGACTTCTTAACGATTGTTATAATCGGAACAACGACTCGCTCATCGATTTATCTCAACCGCTCATCGTATATTATAATATTATATACCTAACGGAAATAACGAAACGTTTTATAAGTTATAAAGCGTTAAATTAAGTTAATTTATACTTAAGCTTATTCAATTTCTATACATTTATCAGCTGACTAGTTCCACTTGAACAAGTCAGAAATTCGAGAATTTACTGTGTAATATTATAATCGATTACACGAGCACCTGTACTGTGTACACCGAACAAAGACCTGCGCTCAAATTTGAAGAGAAAAAAAACATTTTGTTTTAATAATATTTGGTATTCACGGCTGCCCTTCGGTACGCGGATATCTTGTGAAAAATACGTAGGTACTATAATACGAATCGAATATCCTGTAGAGTGTGGTTTTATTTATACACGCAGGTACGCACTGGTATTACGCGTGTACATAATATTATATTATACCGTATACGATATTATATTAACCGCGTGTCAGAGGAGGTGTTAATTATACGCCTATTGCCTATCCTGTAAAGTATATAATATATAATAAGAGCCGTCATCGCCGTTGCTGCAGCTGGTAGTTGCTACGGGAAAAAAAAAAAAAAAAACTGGTGCGTGTGCACTGTGCAGTTGAAAATTTGGGTAAGAAAAAACAACAAAAACCGTTCGAAACTGAAACAATGTGGATCTATTATAATGGGCCCACCGCTCGCGCGTCCGTCACGGTTCGCTCGTCGTCTCGTCGCAGGACAGGGTCGATACAATAATAATTATTTTACACGCTATTTTAATAATATCATGATAATATTATTACAGCGTTGTTTTCGAATAGCGTCAACAGTTTTTTCGACGAGAGATCGGCCGAATTTTCGAAATGGTGCAGCCTCCACCTTACACTCGGATGCTAACAGTTTTACTGTTACTGGTAACATAACATTACAAACCTCCTCGCGTCATTTCCATTACAGATTCGAAAACAATAATATTTTCGTATCGGCGGATACACCGCCTTAGCGACTTGTACTAGTTATTCCGTGTCCAGTGCTTCTTGGATTTGGAGACCCGGGGCCCGGGGCTTCCGTTTCCCATTATAGTTATTATTGTTTTATAACGGCGGTGACACTTTTATCTACAACGGCCACCAAAGTATTAAATCGAAATTGAAAAAAAAACAACTTTAAATTTCAACAAGGAACACTCACATTAAACAAACAATGTTCATACTTTATACTGTTTTCTCAAATATAACAATCATGAATCAATACATAAAAAACAATAAAATATAATATCATTGTACCTATATATTAAGACATACCTACAATAAAATATAATATTCTGTTAACTTAAAAGTTTACTTTTAAGAGTTCAAGCTTTTAAGTTTGAACTCTTGGCCCGCCAAGAATTATTTCTTTTTTTTTTTTTTTTTGTAATAAAAGTTTGGTCGCCACTGTTTTATAATATTGTATTTGTTATTATTCATATTATATTAAATAGTGTTATGGATGGTGAGGTATTGGTGATACATTTGTTTATACACAATACGCATGTATACATAATATATATTATTTTATGTTATAAAAAATATGAAATATTTAACTTGAAAATTTGTGCTTTAAGGTTTATTCGTATGAAAAAAATGTTGTGTAATATATAGGATTATTGTATACATTTTTTTTTTTTTTTTTATTGTATTTATTCAATATTCGTCTTTGTCTTTTTGGAAACAGCGTGCATTTGGAGATTAACGAATTTAAACGTATGGCGGTTATTATGTCTCAACATTAATTCGTAGTGGCAAAAGGAGCGTTCAATGTCAGCCGAGGATAGTGGAGAATTGAAATATTCTACATTATCATCTAACTTGATACGTGCAAATGGTATAAATTCAATATACATTGGTGTATTTTCGTTTATACTCGGAAGAATAGTTTTAATAGCTTATATTTTATTTCATTATTTTGTTTTATTTTTGGACAATTGCCCTTTAGTATATATATATATATATATCATTTGTACATTTAATAATACATGTTACTCGGTTAATATAATATAACATTAAGTTATCAATTAAAATATAAATTAACTTAATTAGTTACCAAAGGTGAAAAAGGTCAACGTTGGCACTCGCCATTAGGCGCCTAATAGATTCATTTTTTTTAAATAATTTGTGGAGAAATGGGGGATATAGAAGAGAATAGTGGTTCTTGTTGCTCGCTGGGGTACCTTAAAACATAAAGGTGACAATACATCAGGTGAGTCAATATTGCCATCCAATAGACCACTTATAAATTTAATTCCAACAGTGCGCTTACGCTCAGCTACGGAGGAAAGGCCAAGCAAGTTAGTTACTCGAAGCATAATCGTGTAGAGGACAATGTATTTTGAGTACGAAACTGATAAAACGAAAAAACTTTTGCTAAACTCGCCCAAGCTGCAGTGAGTCATTGGTAGTATAAGGATCCCATACTACACAACTTTATTCAAGAATAGATTTGACAACAAAATAGACTAACATTTTTAGAGACATTCCTTTCTAAAAATCTTTAGCCAAGCTTGTATCCTATGATACGTAAAAAACCTTGAATTCGGATAGATTAAGTGATATTTCCATTTTATTGGACTAAACAGAAAATGTATCGATGTCAGCTTGCAATTTCAAACAATCCTCAATTGAGCTTATTCGTATAAAGAGTTTCATGTCGTCAGAAAAACATAGAAAACAGCAGTGGTGCAGAAAATTATGGGCACAGTTAATAAATATTGAAAGAAAGGATTGGAGGCAGGTGACCCCTTTGGGGGACACCAGATGAGGCTATAAATACTTTAGACTTAATGCCGAACACCTTAACTCATTAATATCTGTCAACGAGGCAGGAACTAAACCAGGACAGTAACGGCTTACTGAATCCATAATGTTTAAGAACAACAATAAGGATACCGTGGTCCACTGATTTATAGGCTTTCTTAAAGTCATTATATATTACATCTACTTGGGATTGTTTTTGAAAAGCACTAAAGATATAGCTAGAAAATAGAAGATTACAGGTGGAAGCAGAAAGATCCGGACGAAAACCGTGCTGTTCTTTTATTAGAATTTTGTTTGTTGGTCCTTAAATTTCATTAAGGATTAGCGCCTCAAATATTTTGCAATATGAGATTTTATGGGGTTATCGACCGATAATTCGAAATAAGACTATGAAACCCTGACTTGAAAACAGGTGTAATTAAGCTAAGTTTAAACACAGATGGGAACGAATCATTATCTAAAGAATGCCTAAATAAGACTCATAGAGGATATGCCAATATTTCCCTTAGCTCATACAAAAATATACCAGAGAGGCTATCAAGACCAACAGAACCAACACCCCATAAACTAGATAGCCAATGGTTAACATAATCAACACTTAAGTACATATTGTTTGGTAGATCAAAGGTGGGTATTCCCAGTTGATAAATCGTGACGTCAATCTTCTTAGTGCTATAAACCTAAAAAAAGAAGTCAGAGAATAAATTTGCGGTCGTAAGCTCATCATAGGAACTTACGTCATTAAAGGATATAACTTTATGTATACTGTTATTGAACCGTTCATTTCTAATGTATTTCTAAAATACATAGGGCTTATCTTTGAGTTATTTTTCGACGTTGGCATTGTATTCACGATAACATTTTTTAGATGTATATTTAAATTTTGCCCGAAGATATGAAAATTCCTTATAATGAAATATGTTGGATGAGGACTTAAATTTAGTGTGTGCTTTTTTTTTTAAAATATAATATTCTTTTAAGTTCTTTATTAAACCAAGGAGGATAAGTAGATTCGTAAAATCTATATTAAGGAACAAAATCGATATTGATTTATGTAAACTATCATAAAAAATATGAACAGCTGTGTTAATATCGTGCCGGAGAAATATAGTATATCAATCGAATAATGAGATAAATTAACGAATATTTCTATAGTTAGCTCTACGAATATTGTAGAACAAATTACTGCGATCACAGCTAGGATAAAAAATGTAAGAGGATAATTGTAAATTTAATGTAGGGTGATACTTGTCAATAAGCACAAGTGGCTCACATGATTTTTCAACATTTAACTCTATAATGTCAATGTATGGTCAGGATATCTTACTACCAACGAGATTTATGTGAGATTAATAGACATTAAGAGAAGATATTGGGGGTATGTAGACCCCGCCAATAATATAGTTCAAAGTATCAATAGAGAAACGAACGAAGTATGTCCGTCTTTTAACTATATTATTATGCATAATAATACGAACGCAACGGCACCAATGCAGCAACTTACTACGAGTCTGACACAGTCACGAGTGTCTTACGTGCGTCATCGAAATGTGTCTCGACGAGCACATAATTATAGCGAACAAGCAAATTATAAACACACGCGGTTTAGAATTTTCTAATAAAAAAAACAAACGTCGAAAAAAGTTAATATACGAGGGAAAGTATTAACTTGTTTAGGTTCGGGTTGAAGGAGGAGCATTATATTTGGTGGCGCATTATAAACACGTCGGGCGCCATGCCGCCACAAAAATGATGCTCCACTACTCTCCTTCAACCAAAACTTAGAAGTGGAATATCTCGTCAACGGGTTGACGTAAATCGAAAATGTCAACACCAAAATGTATTTTAACTCCGTCTATTTATGGACTTTTTAAATATAGGTTGCCGTTTGATAATCAAAAGTAGGCGACAAAAACAATAACATAAATATAAAATCGTAGATCGACTCTGCTGCTCGTTGCTTAAATATTCTGGTAAACAAATTCCGGAAAAAGTTGATACGAGATAACGGGACGTGTCGCTTGTAGTTGGCGGATCGGTCGCCGCTGCAGTACCCCCCGTATTGTACACGTCATAATATTATAAAGTATGCGCATCACGGCGCGCGCGCGTGTATTGTGTGCCGCGCGCGTTTCGTATGTAATATACGTCCTGCGTACACGTATATTATCATTATTATTATTATTAAAAATAGGCACCTGCAATAATAATAATAATGATAATAGCTGGTAAAGCCGGGGAAAAAAAAAAAAAAAATGGCTAAAAAAAAAAAAAGAACGGAAAACGGGAGTGAGACGCCGCGCGGAGGTTAACGTCGCCGCCGCCGCCGCCGCCGGCTCCGGCCGACTCGCGGCGCGTATAATGTTATTGCGTACCTACCCGTGCGGCCCGCGTGCGTACGAGTATGTTATAGTATTATTAATACGCGCGTATGATACACGTGGAACAGTAATTATATTACGGAATACGCGATAATAACACGGTAAATTTAATTAAAATAACCGGACCGGCGACGATCTCATCGCGCGCCCGCCGTACTTAATGACGGCGATCCCGTATTGCCGCGGCGATTATCGAGGTAAAAAAAAAACCTGAAAAAAAAAAAAACTAATTAAACTATTAACGTACATAATGACGCGCCGTAAACCCGGGTCGCCCGAGCGCGTCCCGAAATGATCTTT